TGAAAATTTCATGTCATTAGCACCTCTAGTAATATATTTACTGAGAAAAATGGTGACGTGTTCAATACTTATTTTACCCGCTGTATATATTTATACTTCTCATCCAACCACAATTAAATTCACTCTATCCAGGAGACACAATTTATCAGGGTAGTATTTTTTAAGTAATAACTCAGAATAAAATAGGAGTAACAACTTTCTACTTAMCTTTTTAAAAAATGTAGTGAGTAGAAGTAAAAAGTGCGCTGAAAAATAATTACTCAAGTACAGATAATCAAATTTTCTACTTAAGTACAGTAACAAAGTATTTGTACTTAGTTACTTTACCACTCTGCCTATGAACCACAGGATGTATTTTATTGAAACTATCATTGTTAACGGTCATTGTTGGTACATCTGCAGCTGCTTAACCTTTTGAAGTCAGTCCAATTTAAAATAACTACCTCATCTAAWCCACATTAGCCAACACAACAATGGCTGTAACTTGGTCAAATGTTAAATTATTGAGCTAAAATTTGATGTGGTAGTAGCTAAGTGTCAAACCTCAAAATACTGTAAGAAATTGCACATGGTGTTTGCAAGGTTTGACCAAAATTGATACAATTTTGCATTTTTCATCATAAGATGATCTCAGAAAAAAATAATAACTTTCTAAACTGTGAGGCCATTATTGTTGGTCAGAATATTTGGCTTAAGAAAGCTTAACTTTGATATAATCCTGCTGGTGGAATAACAAAACTCACTGTAGCTGTACTTCTTGGATAAGAGCTAAAAGTACAGAAAACTCAGAAGTTTGTGTTTTCAACGTCTAAATTCACTTCAGTTGAGATAAAAGCTGCGATAAAGGACTGTAATTTCAGCTAAAYGGCTGCTGACTGTGTTTCTAGTCACTCAGGTGTGCACCACGTGTGTAGTTTTAAGGGTGTGTGCGTGTTTAGGGTAAGTAAATTTAGACTYGATTTATATAGAAAGCAGACCTGCATTTAGTCCTCCCTCTCAGAGAGCAGGAACCTGGAAAACCTTTGTCAGCACATTAACTTTTGCACCCTTTTCTTTTTCTGCCCAATGAGCTGTGGTGACCTCTGCTCATCTGTCCTCTGTCTCTGTCRTTTGTTCTATTTACTCCTGACAGCCCAGCGGCAGCACATGTTCACCGTGTCTCGTTTTTTTTTCACGAGTGTTGACATTGTAGTCTGAAYGTTTACGTTAGACTGCGTACGTGGACTTGTGCACGGAGAGCAGTGAGCCCGCAGACATGTGACATGCGTGCCGTGAAGCGGAGCTGCAGGGAGGCCGCAGCAGCGTGGCTGTGGCTGTGGCGCAGCGGCAGRCGGATGGGATCCCTGTCAATTGCCTGAAGAAGCGCGAGGGCGTCGATCCTTCTCCRTCTTTCATGCAGCCGGGTGTTTCCTGTGCCTTCACCAGTGTGGTGGTGTGTGCGTTYACGCTGCTGAGTCACGGCCACCTCAGCTCGATTGCTTCGGCTTGCATGTGCGACTCAGCAGCATAACCTCACAGTGTTTTACAGGACAGGGACAGCCTTTTCATTGTTCTGTAAAACAGGTTGTGGGCTCTTTGTTTCACATTATTACGAGCTCATCAACTGCCACCAGCTTCATACATTTTACACCAAGGCTATAAAGTTCAAACTCAAATCACACGAAATGGTAGCGAAACTTATATTTATACAAAGTTACTAAATTTAGTCTGAGTTATGGATATTTTAATGCTGAACTTTCAGCTGTGAATATAAACGGGACCAGATGTAAAGCACTGCGGCTGGGCTAATGAACATGAGGTCAGGTTATCTGTTTGATGTGTGCATCAGGAAAATTCATTTGTGTGCTTTGCTTATATATATGGGAGGCAGACAGACAGAGTGGAAAACAACAAACCATGGCAACCAAACATGGCTGCAGTCTAATGATAGGCTGCAAACCCAAAACTGTCATCTGCATCTCTCTTTTTCCCCCCGTCTGTGCAGAGATAACAGTGGAAATTGATGTCATGCATCGTTTAACATCATATAGAAAAAAACTGAAAACAATAATCCTGTGGGTTCTCAGTTGTAGACGGACTGTTGTTTCGTTACAGTCTGAAAAATCTGCTTACAAAACTTTTTTAAATGCCAACCTCTGGTGCGTTTTCAGATGTGTTGTATAAAGTACCACAAAGTGATGCTTGAGTAAAAGTACAAGTATCTTACCAAAAAATTACTTTGGTAAAATTTAAAGTCTCCTTTAGGAATATTAGTTGAGTCTTACAGTATCTAATTTTTTGTACTTAAGTCTTAAAAGTAAAAGTATTGATTTAAAATGAACAGTTATTTTCTGTAAGGACATTTATTAGGAGGTGACCTCCACAAAAACTGCAGAAATGACTGTTGTAGTAAAATAATTAATTGATGTTAAATTTAGGATACACTAGTCCAGCTGTTTCAGTTTATACAAATAAATCAAGGCTGCACAAACA